TCATTGTTATAAAATTATCTAAATATGGAATAAATATTGTCACCCTGTAATATTCCTCAAGCGTGGTAGCAGTTGTATTATCTCGATGTACTTGTTTACCAACACGACGAGGCAAAGACAAATTGATATTGGAATTCTTACAAAATATTTCTGCTCTTTGAAATATTAATTTAAATTCTTTTTCAACATTTTTTCTCATTTCTTTTAAAACATTTATAGAATTATCAGCCATATTAAAAACATGAGATAAATCAAATCCAGGTGTTTGTAAAAGTTTACTTAATGGTAAACTAACAGAAAATACTGTTGATATTATGTGTATAGTAATCTGGAACTCAAAGTTATTAATCACAAAATGCAATTGATTTGCTGATGAAGATGTATTTTTATCGGGCCAATTGCTTATTTTTTCTAGAGCATCAATCACAGCATCTTGTAACTCTAGGTAAATTATTACCGAGTCATGGCGCTGAACCCAACGTGTTGGACATGATTGTTTTAATTTTGTATGAGATGAAATAGGTACAATATTTTGAATAGATGTAGTTAAAATATTTTGTCTTTTTGGCGAGTTAAAAAAATTATAAATTGACTCAACACTTCCTAAACAGTTTCTAATTGAAGTAATATTACATGCATCAGAAATAGCAAGATTCAGACTATGAGATGCACAATGTACGTATATTGCTAGTGGACATTTTTCTTGGACATAAACGTGGGCACCATGAAATACACCACTCATTGCGGCAGCACAATCATACCCTTGACCAATCATGTAATTGTAATCTATCCCAATCAAATCAAGCGAAGTTAACAGTGTACTAGCAAGGCCTTTACCCGTGACATCAGTTACCGGAACAAACAGTAGAAAATCTTCATTAATTTGACCATTATAAAAAGGCTGTAGCCCATTTGCGCCCAAGAGCAGCCCATTTACGCCCCGAGGGTTATGGACATTTGCGCCCAAAATAAAAAACTTAACACCCTGATTTATAGCCCAAATGCGCCCATTTTGCATGCAACGTTGCCTTTGTTGTTTAAAAATATACAATTCTATGTAAAATCAAAATTAAAAAAAAAGTAATAATTTTAAAAATAATGTTAAATACTAAACAGT